AAGGGCCAATGCGTGCCCTCACACAGCCCTAAGCACACACTGGCCATAAATCTAAGGGCCTAAAAGTGCCCTCACACAGCCCCCATCACACATCGAGCAGGGAAAACGGGCGGTGGTTACAGCAGGGCCCCTGAATCATGCGGTTGCAGGATTTAGGGTAGTCCTCTGATGGTAGGCAGAGGCAACAGGGTCCATAACACTAACATAGCTGTACAGACAGAGTTCACTCCTATACAAAAGTTGAAATTTAAGGGTTGGGTGCCAAAAAAACCCTAACAGCTCAGGGCTGGTAAAAGCAAACACTCTGAAAAAACCCAGAATCTGGGTAAATGGTATGAAATCTGGGGGTCTGGTTCAAACCCAACCTTAGTGTGTTGAGTTGTCTGAGTTGTCAAAGCATCACTAATGAGACATTGTCGATGAAAATGGCTGGGGGTTCACATTATTGTCAAGCAATAATTGCTTTCGCAAGTTTGTTATAACCACCAACATTTTGCAACAACTACATGCCTACAGACTTTAAATACCCAATATTGGTATGCGATTGCGCCATGACCACCCGTCGATTCGGAGTGAAACCTCGATCTGAAGAGGGACCCTCAGAACAATGGAACGTCTGCTTCTCAGATAAACTAGTGTAAGGAAATGGGTGCGGTATCGCAGCATCATTATATGATCGCTAGCTTCATTGTGTAATATGTCGCTTGATATCCAGAATTTCTCCATCGAATCGTCGAATAACAAATCACATCATCACATTGTCGCCTAATCTATATGAATTTCGTTCAATGCTACCTAGGGTATGCACCAGGGCTTATTTTATCAGAGGAAATCACTCTGATTCTCTGAAAATCAAAGTCGTTTTTGAAAACCACTGATGGTCATGGGTAAATTTTTGAAAGTATCGATTTTCTCTGATTTATCAGTGTTGGCCCTGTTAAATTATAGATTTGAAAAATATAATGGTAGGCTTGGTAGGTGTTACTAGATCCTACTATAGAGGGTACAACCCCCCTTCTTGTATCCCTCTCTCTTCTATTCCAACATTCTTCTCTCTCGACATTTTCTCCTAGCCTTTACCCTCTCGCCATTTCTATGGCTCCTCCTCCTACCTAGCTATGTTTAATAGGCCCATGTACCACCCAGATGGATTTTTAATAGGGGATATACCCCAGATTTCTTCATGTACTCCCTGTATTCGGCTAAGTCCTCCGGCTTCCAGTCACACGCCTCTCATGGCAACCGCAACCTGGATAATTTTGGCTAAGTCCTCCGCAACCAGTCACTCACCCACACACACCCCTCTCATACGCCCCGCAACCTGTAGAAATTTGGCTAAGTCCTCTGCAACCACTCACTCACTCACACCCATCTCATGCCCCCTCAACCTGGAATATTTTGGCGAAGTCCTCCACTACCAGTCACACCCCTCCCATACCCCTCCCAACCTAGATAATTTTGGCAATGTCCTCTGCAACCAGTCACATCCCTCTCAACCCCCGCAACCCAGACACATTCCTCCCTCCCACACCCATCCCAACCCAACCCAACCCAACTATGATCACCGATGTTTGACCAGCCCCCGTTAGTCACGCGAGTACTCTGGTGTGTTGTAGCCGGGGCCGGCTACGGGACGAGCTAGCCTATATTCTCTTGTACTCTCTCATTCATCATGAGTAGGTTAGGTCCCGTTCGCCCACCCGCGCTTCCGCCCTAGGTCCTAGCCGCCCGTTCCCCCTAGCCGGCCCGTTCCCCCTAGCCGGCCTGCGCCCGTCCCGCATTCGTCCCGTAGCCGGCCCGCGCCCGTGTCCATCCCGTAGCCGGCCCGCGCCCGCGCCCATCCCGTAGCTGCGCCCGTCTCCTAGCCGGCCCCGTGCCCGCCTCGTCGCCGGCCTGCGCCCTCCTCGTAGCTAGCCCCGCGCCCGTCCCGTAGCCGGCCCCGTCTCGCGCCCGTCCCATAGCCGACCCGTCTCGTAGCCGGCCTGAGCCCGCTCGTAGCGACCCCCCCCCGCGCCCGTCCGTTCACTGGCCCTCGCGCCCGCCCGTAGCCGGCCCCGCGCCCGTCCGTTAGCCGGCCCCGTGCCCGCCCGTAGCCGGCCCCGCGCCCGTCCGTAGCCGGCCCTGCGCCCGTCCGCTGGGCGGCCCCGCGCCCGTCCGTAGCTAGCCCCCGCGCCCGCCCATAGCCGGCCCCCGCGCCCGTCCGTTGCCGGCCCCGCGCCCGACCATTGCCGGCTCCACACTCGTCCATAGCTGGCCCCCGCGCACGTCCGTCGCCGGCCTCCGCGCCCGTTCGTAGATGGCACGTCCCCCCCCCGCCCCGGCCCCGCACCGGCTCGCTCTCAGCGCCTGGCCCTGACGCCCAGCTGCACGTCCCGTGCAACCGGCTCCTGCACTGCACTGCACCGCACTGCACCGCCCGTCACCGCACTGCACCCCACTGCACCGCACTGCACTGCACTCCACTGCACCGCACTGCACCACAATGCACCGCCCTGCACCACAGCTGCATCGCCCCTGATGGCGGAATCTGTGCTGCGGTTTGACGCGGAGGGTCAGCCGATCGAATTCGACACGTGGCTCGTCGACCTCCGCCGTTACCTCACTGGGCAGCGGTAGGACGGCCACTCTTTGGCTGTACACCTTGACGGTACGCTCCCCTGTCCTGACCCCCCTGCTGCGCTGCCTGCTGACCCCACGTCTGCTGAGCGTGAGTCCGCTGCTGCTGCAGCCCTTGCCCGCTCGGTTTGGTTGTCGCGTGACGCTGTTGCCCAGCTAGCAATCGGTCATGTCCTTCCCCTGTCTGAGTGTCCCCACTTTAGGTCAGTCAGGACCGCCCAGGAATTCCTAGATGCTGTTATTAAGCGTTATTCCACTCCGTCCACTGCCTCCATTGGTCGCCTGATCCTGCCTCTGCTGTTTCCTGACCTTGCATCTTTCCCCATTGTCGCTGACCTAGCCACCCACTTGCACACGCTAGACTCGACCTGGAGCTCTGCCTGCACTCAGGTCCAGCTCTGAGTGTTCCAGCCCCTCCTCTGTGCTACCCTCTACCTGCTTGCCACCCGCCTCCCTGACCGTCTTGCTACTGCCCGCGATTGTTTTCTTAGTCTCCACCCCGCCGACCTCACCCTCACTGACTTTGTCGACACCCTGTCAGCCATAGAGACTCGACAGCGCTCTATCGCCCAGTCTAGCGGTACTGTACCGGTCTCTATCTTTCAGGGCTGTGCGCCCACTCAGTGCACTTTCTCTGGCGGCTCTGCTGCTGTGGCTGAGACAGCTGCTGCAGTGCAGTTTCGTCTGGGAAAGGGTCGCCGCCCCAAGGCTGGGCGCGGTGGTGGTGGTGGCGGCGGTGTGGGTGGAGGAGGTGCTGTCGCAGGGTTGCCCTCAGAGGGTGCGGAGGAGGATGCTGGGCCTGGCACCACCGAGCAGCAGCCAGTTCCACCGCAGGATCGGCAGCAGCCGCAGCAGCCACTGCAGCAGCAGCAGCAGCAGCACCAGCATCAGCACCAGCCGCCACGCCAACAGCAGCAGCGGCGCGTTGGTCGTCTCCCGCCCGGGTGGCCCCGAGCTGGCGGTGGCAGCGGTCGCGCTGGTCGTGCGCGTGGTGTGGAGTCGGGTGGTGGCTCCGGCGATGGGCGCTGCCAGTACTAGCTTCAGACCGGTCCTCGCCGTGGCATTGTGTGCGGTAAGATCGATCACTCCCCCACTCGCTGTTTCAGTCGCCTGGACGACCTGTTTCGTCTTCGCTTCGGCCCGTCGCCCGACCTCCCCGACTGGCTCAGCTTGCTCCGCCAAGGTGTTCAGATCTTTGATATGGACATGGATGAGATAAGCTCTGCGTTGTATGTGCTGTATGTTGATGACTCTAGTGTGATTGGTTCTGCTTACCTAGTATTGCCTTGTGTAGGTGTGCCTAGTTCAGACCCCCTTACTGTGTCAGGCGTAGGCTCTCCTGCTTTGTTTAGCCTCGGCTCCTCTCTTGCTCCTACCGCTCCTGCCGCCAGGCCCGCGTAGTACACTTGGCCTCCGGTGCCAACACGGCTGATATTTTTACAAAGGCGCTTGCGCCTAAAGATCATCAGCGGCACTGTGTACAGCTTGGCCTTGTTCCCGTAGCCTCTCATTTGATATGGCCTTGATTGTGTACAGACTTATATATATATATACGCTCTGACTAGCCTTGTGGCCTCTCCCAGTTGTTGGACTAGTAGTGCCGCCCTGGTCTTGCTCCTGTCTTGGTTTGTACTCATGTGACTGGTCTTTAGACCCCTGTCTCAGAGGCTGGACTAGTAGTGCCACCCTGAGCTGCTTGTCTATTTGTTAGGCACTGCCCCTATACAGTTTAGGGGGCGTGTCAAAGCATATCTTAGTATGTTATTGTAGTCTGTATAGTTTGTGCCTTAGAGGGTACAACACTAGCCTATATTCTCTTATACTCTCATTCTAGATTATTCCATCATTCTAACAGCAAACTCCCCCGTACGACTGATGCCTCGAAGTTATGCCTCGGGGCTTGTCCCAAGCACGGAACGCGCCCTGATTCTTTTCAGAGAACCGGATGGATCCCATTTCCAACCGAAACTTGACTGTACAAGGCAGATTTCGGCAAAAATTCTCGATAAACTTGCAGTTTCGGTAGAGGTTACCCAGATAAATGCGCTATGGTGCGAAATAAACGGTGGGGCGTATATCTTGCGACATCCGGTACAGTGTCAGAGTTTTTATTTGAAAATGTGTAAAAAAAAACCCTGACAAATCAGAGTTCGTGGCATGGGGCACTCTGAAAAACAGAGTTAGGCCAGGATTCACTCGTGAAAATCATAGTAAAAAACCAAAGGTGGGCCCTGGTACGCTCGCGATATTGTTATGGTGGTATGGCTATACCTTCGGAGGCAGTTCATAAGCTAAGCATGCGTAAACGTGAGGCACAAAATTTTGAAGGTGGGGAAGGGGGAGATCATTCTTGATATGGAGGACTCTTTGGATTCGTAGTGTCCAGTTTTACGAAACAGTATGGTAACTTAAAAAAATCCTACATCAAACATATGCATGCACACTGGTAGCTACACTAGCACTGCTATGTACAGATAATACCGCGATACAGCTTACTGCACTGTGATTTCCGCGATAGGAAGCTGGTAGCTCGCATCATTCAGTACAATCACATCGCCACTCTCCTGCACCACTGCCTTCCTCTCCACAAGCAGCAAAAATGCAATCAGCTTTTTGTGGCTGCCATTTCCTTCCCTCGACACGGAATAAGACAATGCGGTAGACACATCGCGCGTGAACCAGTCTCCCCTAGGGTCGCTCGAGCGCTTCGTAGGGCACATGCCGTTGCGCAGAATAGGGTCAAAACTGGTCGACCTTGTCCCGTGAAACGCGAGGTCTAGGCTGGCGGCTTCTGCCGTATCCATGTACGTCAGACCTTTGACTAGGGTTTGGAGAAGTAGAAACAAAAAAGGTGTATCAGAAAGGATTCGCCTCACAAAAGGAGAATGCCACCGCGCGTGACGTAATACTAGGAAAGTGGACACGGAATCAAACAGCGCGCGTCAGCAATTGCCACTTGGCCAATCACGATTCAAGAGACGGGGTGTGTAGCATTTACCCAGTGCACCATCAGCGGGCAGGTTCTGAGCAGTCGCGAGGAAACGCGTGAGCAGCGCGGATCCGCGCGTCAGGTAGGGGTTCTTGCGAACTGACACCACCGAGCTGCACCGCTGACCCACCACGTGCTGAATGTACGCCTCAGTGGTAAACGCGTCGATGATGCGGCTCCAAATCTGCCATTATACCACCAGGTTATTCGGGTGATATTAATCTGATGTAGGGATGGTGGTTCGCGATGCTTGATTGAAATCGTTCTGGGCCTTTTTAACTTCTTCAGAAGGACAGAGCCAACGGTTTGGTAGCATTGGAGATTGCCTCTGCCTCGGACAGTAGAAGAGGATAAGAAAGTTGTCAGGAGCCGATAGACAGCTTACCACAGAAGGGGTCCTCAATGTGGTGCTCAGGTCCTTTAGCGAGATCCTCGGGATGACAAGAACCGGCCGTCCCTGATCGCTAACAGGGTTAATTTGCTCCATAGTCACCAAATTCAGCGTGTAAGACTGGCCGTTGGGGTAAACACTCGACGTGAAAACTCCCAGGCTCACGCTGCTAAGGCCCAGAGAGGCGGCCTTGAGAATCGCGCGGGACGTGGCGCGGTCGTAGGGGCGCCATTCGTCGTCGTCACGCCAGTAGATGCCGGGGACCTCGGGCTCCGAGCAGGGGAGGAAGTTGATGCACATGGTGGCGCCGCCAAACTTCCGCTGAGAAGCAGTGACTACTGCGAAGCAAGAGCGAATCTCACGATTTTTTCACTGCTCACTGTGCTAGTGGTGCAATTTTCCTTTCGACGGGTGCCGAGGGAGGAGAGAGAGAGCGAGAGAAGAGCTCGAGGTTCACGGCGCATCGTGACTGCGATAAGTAGCGCGGAATTTATGCCTGTTCGGAGGGTAGTCCGCGGCTGGAGGACAGATTCTAAACCGGTGTTTACCCCGGAATCGTGCTTTCTAAAGCACTGCTTACCCCTACAATGTAAGTCTATATAGCTAGCACACGCTCATCAGAAAAGTTCTCCCTAGAATGATTTGCTTGCTACACCTCGTCAGCTCCCCAAAACTGGGGATAACTACCCGAATGTAAGCGTAATCTTTCCTTTGTCAGCAGGGACAATCCTGGAGAATAATCAAAAGATCTTGGGAAACTCGAAAACGTCCTCGTCCCCTCCCCCTCCACTTCCTCGTCCTCACAAATTCCGAAATCCCTCTTCATTGCCTCGGGAACTCCATTTCTGCTTCCAGGCGTTCGCTTTCCTCGAGCACTCCGTCCTTCCTGAAAGCATCGTTCGGCGTATCTCGGAAAATCTCCTAGTTGCTTCAAGCTAATCGCTTATGCATCGGAACTCAAACTCGGTCTAGCTTTCCGTCTTGGCGTGCGTCAACCCACCGCCATAGGCAACGGTGACATGCGAGGCTTCCTGACAGCTGGATTCGACCTTACACAGTTGGATCCTACCTTGAACAGTTAGATTCCACCTTAGACAGTTGGAACCTACCTTGAACAGTTATATTCCACCTTAAACGCCACCACGTATTCGTTCCGAGGGTGCAGCATTGAAATCCATGGCCATCGTCGGATTCTATCCGTTCTCGTCCGCTAATCTCCACGTCTATTCAAACGTCTTATTCACGCCTTCCTCCGTCAGGGCAGCATGCGTCGCGCATCTTATTGGGCTGAGTGCAGCCCATGGATCTTTGGCAGAGACCCATTTCCAACACATCTCGTGCCTCATTCATCCTGCATACCGTACTACAGTAAACGGCGTCTGGACATTCTGCATCAATCCTCGTGCATCGTTCTCCGTGGATTGGTCCTCGTGCGTTGTGCATCATGCGCTGCCAGCTGGCGGCTCACCGCGACCCCTCGCCATGGCGCTTCCCGTGCACCCACCTCCCTCGCATCTCCTGTGCGACGAGCGCTGTCATTTCGAACAGCATCGGCCTTCTGAAAGTCCTGGGAGTTCCCAAATCCCGAGAAACTGGCCCTGGTCTGCCGAGGGAAACTCGAGAGTTAACCAACCCTCGGACTTCCGAACCTTGGAATCAGCTACTGAGTCGTACGTCAAGGTTCGAGGCTCGGAGATCTCGACCTTACCTACATGCCTGAATCCATGGCGCTTGCCCTGACCTGTGTTACGCATGGTATGGTGACTGCGCCGTGCCACAGACTCCTGCGCCTGCTGCCACTGGCCGTTCTCCGCTGCAGCGCCCCTTAATCACCATCAACTCAAAGAGCCAGGCGACCGGTATAAACATGGGGTGGATACGGCGTCTCAATCTCCCTAATCGGATCTCCCCGTTTGGCCTCCTCTCGTGATTCATTCCCTGGGTGTCACGGAAGGCATGGATCGTGGTCGATCTGACTCATCTGAGGCCCTCCCCCACGGCAAGGCTGTTCCTCCTGGCGCGTCTCGGGCAGCAGGCAGTTTCGCTGCTTCCCCAGGCGAGTCTCAGGCAGAGGACAGTGTCAGTGAGTTCTTTGACTGCCTTACGTCAGCCAGCAGCAGCTCGGAAGCCATCCCTTCCTATCCTCCCTCTCCCTCCTTCGCTGCTTCGTCTCCCCCCCATCGTCGTCTCCTTCTTCCTCCTCTGTTCTCGGCCCCATCCGCTCCTCCCTTCCCTCATCTCCCTCCTCTTTCATATCCTTCTTTCCCTCCGCTTCCGCTGCCCCTCAACCAGTCTGCTCCGTATCCCTATCTTCCTCCCCCTCTCCTCCATCCTGCGACTCCTCCCTCCCTCTCTGCGCAAGCTGCATACGACATCATCTTTCCCCTCTATCAAGAGGCTGCTACAGCCGCTGCTGAGGCAGCAGAAGCGGCTGAAAGCGCATCTGTAGCGCAGCGTTTGGCAGTATCTGTTGCTGGCAGGGCGGCAGCCTCCCAGGCAGAGGCTACAGCCGTCGCTGCAGCAGCTGCTGCTTCTGCGGAAGCTGCAGGGAAGGCTGATGTTGAGGCAAGAACCGCTTCAGCAAAGGCAGAGAGAGGAGCAGCGAATATTGAGCGCGCCTTAGCCACAGTCTGGGGAGGAGAATTCTCAGCTGAAGAGCAAGTACTCGCGTCAGCCCCGATTTACCACCCTTCGGCGGAACCAGAAACAGCGCAAGTGGGTCCAGGAGATAGGGGATTTGGAATTTCAGAGGAAGGGGATTCTCCAGACGGAATGAAGCGGCGAAAAGCACGTGGAGAAGAGTCTGATGATTGCGCAGACATCGGAGGGGAAAGGGAAGCAGGTGCGGAGGAGAGGAGCAGGAAGAGAATGACGGGGAAAGGGAAGGGAAGATGGTCAGGGGAAGGGACTGGGAGTGGGACAGGGGCCGTGGTAGCTTCACTTGCTGCAGTAGCAGCAGCCACAGCACCAGCAGCAACAGCACCAGCAGCAGCGACAGCAGCGGCATTTCAGCATGTGCCAAGGAGAAGTTTGGCCCTTAATGGGCCAATAACCAGGAGAGGAAGGCTGCAGCATACTCGTGCTGCTAGCTCCCCTTACTATGAGCGCTTCCCTCACTTTCCGTATCATAGTCCCATGCATCCCTCGGCCATGCGCTCGCACACTACCCCTGCTCCTGCTCCTACTAATACTGCAACTGTTCTTTCGCTCTCCCTTCCAGCTCAGCCCGGCCCAGGAGAAGCTCAGGCACGAGCTTGTGAAGATGCCACCATGGCATCTTCCCAGGCAGGTCAGCAGGGCATGCCTGCTCAACCTCCCCCGAGTCAAGACTTGAGGCTCTTTGACGTTTCCCAGGGTCAGGGCCAGAAAGCTGAAGGGCCGCAGAGGGCAGTTCAGCCGGCTGTTCACCAGAGGGCTTCCACTGGGGAGCAGGAGAGAGGGCTCAGAGGACGGGTGGCAGGAGAAGTTGGTGCACCAGCACCAGCACCAGTACCAGCAGCAGCACCGGTCAAAGTGATGCATGCACCGGCACAAGGTCGTGGTGAGTCCAAGGCTATACATTCTGAGCACTCACTTCAGCCGGCTGTTGAGGCATCTTCTGGTGGGCAGGAGAGAGGGGGTCGAGGTGGGGTAGGGAGAGGAAGACGTTGGGGTTTGTTGAGTTGGGGGGAGTTTATGTTGTGGGTAGTGGGCGTGGTGCGGAGTATTGGGACGCTTGGATGGGGGGGGGGGAGGACAGGGGGAGGCGTGAACTATCTACTGGAAAAGATGACCAGGAGGGTGAGGAGAGGGGAGGAGTGAGAGGAGGGAGGAGGGAAGGGGGGAGGAGGGAAGGGGGGCAGGGGCAGCAATGGGACGATGATATGGAGATGGGGGATGCAGAGGAGGCTCCGCTGTTGGGAGTGCATGTGAGGGAGGGGGGGGGAAGCGAACAGTGGGGAAGCGGTCAGTGGGGAAGTGGACAGCGGGGAGGGGATGAGTTTGGTGAGCAAAACAACCAGGAGCAGCAGCGACTGCTATGGGAACAGGAATGGCCGCAGCTGCAGCACTTGAAGCAGCAGCAGCTGGAGCGGATGTGGGTGAACCAGGTGCAGCTCTGGTGGCACGAGGGAAGCATCTCTTCGAGCGATTACACAGCGCTTCTGCAGCCAAACTCTCCTCACTACCAGCGGTGGCTGCTCTATTACCAACAACAGCTGTACGACCAGAATCAGCTATGCTACCATCAGCCATGGCCATACAACCAGCACATTCCGCAGCTTCAGCAGCAGCAGCAGCAGCAGCAGCGGCCGCCTTATGACCATGACGGAACGCGGCATGGTACCCATGGTAGTACCATGCCTGAGCGAGAGCACGACCATGCCATCATGACATCGTCAGCCGAAGCTGGTCCATCCACTCCCTGGGCCTACGACCCTTTCAGTACTGACCTCCCCAGTTGCGACCTCCTCCAGGTGCTTGACACCATGCCTCCCTCTTCTGTTGCTGCAGCTGCCACTGCTGCTGTATCTGCCGCTGCTGCTATGCCAGCGTCTGCTGCTGTCAAAGCTCCGGCTCCTCCACTCCAGCTACCCCTTCCCCCCTACACCGTGCATCAGTCACAGACAAGCCTCTTCAGAGATACTGCTGCCTTCGCTGTCCCGCTTCCCTCCCGGGACTCTGCTCGTGCCTCGGCTGGTTTCGGAGTGCTGGTGGTGCATCGGGGGGATATCACCAAGTGGTTCGTGGACGGCACAAGCGACGCCATTGTGAGTGAAGAGCACCGGTGGCGATCATGGTTGGTACTTACAGCAGGTAAGAAGGTTCTGCTGAGAGATCGCGGTGCATCGTGGCTTGTGGACAGTGCGAGCGATGCTATTGTGGGTGCAGTAAAATGTGATGCTGCTTCCTGTCAGCTTCCTGCCATCTTCCTGTCAGCTTCCTGTCAGCTTCCTGCCATCTTCCTGTCAGCTTCCTGTCAGCTTCCTGCCATCTTCCTGTCAGCTTCCTGTCAGCTTCCTGCCATCTTCCTGTCAGCTTCCTGTCAGCTTCCTGCCATCTTCCTGTCATCTTCCTGTCAGCTTCCTGCCAGCTTCCTGTCATCTTCCTGTCAGCTTCCTGCCATCTTCCTGTCAGCTTCCTGTCAGCTTCCTGCCAACTTCCTACTCTCTCCCCCTCCCCCTCCCCTTTTCACCTGCCTCCCCCTTGTTTGACTGTCAGATTAATGCTGCAAACGAGTCAGTTCTTGGTGGAGGTGGGGTCGATGGAGGTGAGAGGGGGGGGTGGGGGTGGGGGTATTGGTGGGGGGAGGGGGGGTAGAGGGAGATAGGTGGGGAGGGCATTGAGTGAGAGTTAGTGCTGCAAACGAGTTAGTTCTTGGTGAAGGCGGGGTGGATGGAGGTGTTTGACGAGGGCGGGGCCTAGGGGCTTGGGGATAGGAGTACAAAGGACAGAGAGGGAGAGTGGGAACGGGAATTGGGTGGGGAGAGAGACTGAATGCTTAATAATTCACTCATCATTCTTACTCTCTGCTTCTTTCTCCTCCACCTATTCACAGTGCCGCCGGCCCCAACTTCGTGAAGCTGTGCCGTGACCTGCCCAGTCCACGCTTCTCTCTGCTCTCTCCGTCCCTCTCCCTCTCATTTCCCCCTCTCTCGCCTCCCTTCTCTCCTCCAGCTTTTCACAGCGCAGCGGGCCCCAACCTCCTGAAAATGTGGCCCAATTTCTGCCCACGCTCCTCTCTTCTCTCTCCGCCCCTCTCCCTCCCATTTCCCCCTCTCCCGCCTCCCCTCTCTCCTCCAGCCATTCACAGTGCAGCAGGCCCCAACCTCCTGAAGCTGTGCCGCGACCTGCCGAGGCTGAAGAATGGTGATCGCTGCAGGACAGGGGATGCTGTGACAACAGGGTGAGTGACTATGTTGTAAAGTTGCTTCTAAAGGTGTGGGCGGTGGCCCATGGGGAAGTGTATTTCGTGTTACTGGCGTTGTCGGCGTGGTGTTTCACATGGATACACTGAGTGTAATGTGTCGATTTTTTAGTCTGACTCAAAAATTGTTTCACATGGACACACTGAACTGAATTCGTATCTACCTGTATTGCACCTGATGTGACCTGTGACCCGGGTAGTCTACAATTGCCGCCTCAATTCAGTTCACCTAATGTGTTTTTCTTTCCATCTTGCCACTACGTTTGGATCCTGCAGAGCTGCTAGGCTTCCAGCACGCTACGTGATCCATGCTGTGGGCCCAAGGTACCGGTCAGAGGAAGTATCAGCCCCCGTGCTGAAAAACGCATACAGGTGCGTCTTCTGCTGTCCTGAGTGTCTCACCCACATGCACCCACTCAACCACGCACCCACCTGATTTCGCTCGGAGTCCATACCCACAGGCTTGCCATAGAATACGCCCTGCTGTGGATCCACAGGCGCATTCTATGGGAGGCCTGCAAGCAAGTCGTCTAATGGTCACATCGCCACTCCCATGCACACATACCCTCAACCGCTCTCCCACTCACCCACTCAACCACTCCCATTCACCCACTGACCCGCGCACCCCACCTTCCTGCTCATTGTAAAATCTTCCACAGGAGCATTTTACGGGAGGCCACCAAGTCAGCTATCAAATTTATCGCCATACCCGCAATATCATGCGGCATATTCGGGTACGCCTTTCTCGGTTGTCCAGCTCTGAGTTCTTTTCCACTGCTGCTAGAAAAGTTGAAGTTCACTTCCTTATTTTATATGCTCCCCTCAGGTACTCGCCGAGGAAGGGCGCTCAAGCAGCCATCGAAGTGTTGCGCACCAAAGCATGGGAGTGTTAGATCGAACTTGGCCCAGAGGTACCATCCATCCTCACACCTTCTCACAAAACGCCCTTGACATCGCTTTCTCCCCTCCTCTCTGCTCCCCTCAGGTACCCTCCGAGGAAGGGCGCCCAAGCAGCCATCGAAGTGTTGCGCACCGCAGCATGGGGATCCGTGCTAGAGGTATCTACTCAGCTCCTCCCCTTCCTTCCCTTTTCTCCCATACCGCTCCTCTCCTCCTCCCCCCGCCCCCCTTCTTTGATCTACTCAGCTCTCCCTCGTTCCTTGAACGTATCATTAGTTGTGCCATAAGAGTTTGGTCCATTGGCTGGCATCCTGGCACCTGCTGCCAACCTGGCGCGATCGTTTGCTGTTATTCTGCACCACGGATGCACTCTGTGCTGTTTGGCCACGAGATGTTGAATGACTGGCTAGCTGCCATTCATGCTGCCAACCTGCCACAGCTGACAGTGCTGTGAGCTGAACACTATCTCGGTACTCTGCCACAACCCCCCCTTCCCCCCCAACCCCCCTCCACAGGTGCACTTTGTGCTCTTCGACCATAAGATGCTGAACGACTGGCTTGCTGCCACCCATGCTGCCAAGCTGCCACAGCTGACGGTGCAACAGCCAGCGCAGTTTGCACAACAGATATTGCATCTGGCACCGCAGGAAATCACTCATGAGTGGGCACATCAGCCACCAAAGCAGGCACTGAAAGAGTTGAAAGGAAAGAAATTGCAGCAGCAGGCGGTACAACAAGGGCAATCAGGCAAGACAGCAGGGCAGGCAGAGAATCGACAACAGTATCAGGCACAGCAGCAGGAGTTACAGCAGCAGCCACAGCAACCACAGCAGGCACAGCAGCAGACCCAGCAGTCACAGCAGCAGACCCAGCAGTCACAGCAGCAGCTGTCACTGCAAGCGCCTTCTCAAAATCCAGCGCAGCAGCAGGAGGAGCAGCAGCCTCAGAAGTCAGCACAGTCACCACCGCGATCAAAGGATGAGCAGGCCGAAAAGAAGGAGCAACAGGAGGATTCAGAGCAGTCTCATAAGCCATCGCAGCAGCCAGTGCATGTGTGGCTGCAGGAAAAGAGGGAGATTGGGACGCCCGGTGGGGGGGAGAGAGGAAAGAGAGGGAAGGTTGGGAAGGAGTTGAACTGTGATCGGAGTGTGAGTGCTGACAAGAGTGGTGACTTTGGGATGAACATGGGTGAAGTAGTCAGAGTGAGAGATGGAAATGGGAGAAGGCAAGATAAGGAGGGTAGGGTGGGGAGAGACGAGAACTCAGGAGGCGAAGCTGATTTGCTGGGCTTAGGGCGTGACGGGCAGTCAGGGGGGCATGGCTGGGAGGCCTGGGGCAAGACTGATAATGCAACAGGTGCAAGGGGTATATCAGTTACTGGACTGTGCAACTGGACTGAGGGTGTATCGGGTACTGTGGAAGGATGGGGGTTGACTGCAAGACCGGCGGCAGTTGGAATGGCTGGTGCTGGGAACCTGGCTATGCCACGAGATCTGCTGACACACGGAGCGCTGGTGACACCTGGAGACCTGAACACCTGGGCATCCCAACCACTGAGGGCACCTGCTGTGGAGGTCGGTGGTAAGGGCTCAAGCATGGCAGTAGGGGTTGAAGCTTCAAGCATGGAAGGGGACCTGATGGACTGCTCTCCTGGTAGCCGGGAATCTATGGCTGACGAGGAGGTTCCGTTGCTGGCACCAGCACCAGCACCAGCACCAGCACCAGCACCAGCACCAGCACCAGCACCAGCACCAGCACCAGCACCAGCACCAGCACCAGCACCAGCACCAGCTGCAGCACCAGCAGCAGCAGCAGCGCCAGCTGCACCAGCACCAGCACCAGCACCAGCACCAGCACCAGCACCAGCACCAGCACCAGCACCAGCTGCAGCACCAGCAGCAGCAGCAGCGCCAGCTGCACCAGCAGCAGCACCAGCAGCACCAGCAGCACCAGCAGCACCAGCAGTACCAGCAGCACCACGAGTACCACCAGCAGCAGCACCACCATCAGCAGCAGCAGCAGCACCAGTAGCAGTAGCCAACACTGTACCTGCTTGTACAGCAGCAGCCAGCGTTACTAGACCTGAGAAAGCGTGGGGTGGAAGCTCCCCTTCCTGCAAAACGCCGCAACCCATTTTTTCACCACCTTTACCAGCTCCAGCGCCAGCAGCAGCACACCCAGCAATATCCAACACTGTACCTGCTAGCACCGTAGCAGCCAGCGCCACAGGGCCTGCGAGAGCGTGGGGAGGAGGCACTGCTTCTTGCCAAACGTCACAATCCACTGCAGCACCACCATCAGCACCATCACTGGCAGCAGCAGCAGCAGAACCAGAACCAGCAGCACCAGCATCAGCCAGCATTGTACCTGCTAGTACCGTAGCAGCCAGCGCTACAGGGCTTGGGAAAGCGTGGGGAGGAGGCACTGCAGGTAGGGACCTGTTCAGGTGCAGCAGCAGAGTGCCGGAAACGGTGAGAGATATAACAATGAGGGATGCAGTGAAGGCTACAGTCACGGATACAGTAAGGGATGCCGAAGGGGACATGGATCAAGGTGATCAAATGGCGATGCTGCCAGCGTGTGCTTCCGGGGATGTTGAAGCCTCTGGTTGGCTGGACGCTGCTGCCTCTGCCGTTGTCTCTGCTCTTGCTGCTGAAGTTACTGTCCCACCGCGGCCACCTGCCCTCTCAGTCCTGGATGATGCGTCTCGCCTTTCTGCTCCGCTCCTTGAGGCACTGCCTGACGATGCCTCTGCTGCTGCCTCTGCTGCTGCCTCTGCTGCTGCCTCTGCTGCTGCCTCTGCTGCTGCCTGCGTTGCTCTTGCTGCCGAAGTGACGATCCCACCACAGTCGCATGCCCTGTCTGCCTGGGACCGCGCCCCCACTCCAGATCGGTTTGAAGCCTTCCTAAGCTCTGCCCCATCGCCACCCCCAGCACCACCACCACCCCCAACATCCCCACCACCCCCGGCACCACCACCACCCCCGAAGTCCCCACCACCACCACCTGCCAATGCCTCTGACACTTCGGCTGGTCTTGCTGTTACTTCTGCTGCTGCAAGTGCTGCCAGTGCTGCCGCTGCTACTGCCCTGGCCGATTCTACTGCTCCCAGTGTTGTTGATGCTTCCATTTCCAGTGCTGCTGCTGCTGCATGTCCTACTTATGCCGGGGCTTGTGCTGGTTTTTCATTTTCTGCTGTTGATGGTGATGCTGCTGTTGCCACTGCTCCTCAACCTGCAGTCTTGCCTGGTAATAGCTCCAACGCTGCTGCTGCTACCACGCCAAGTTCAGAAGTTCTGTCTCTGGATGGTTTGGGTGCTGCCATGGCTCCTCTTCCTGTCGTCTTTCCTGCTGACAGTTTGGTTGCTGCTGCTGCTGCGGCTGATTCAAGGCAGCGGGGTATGGAATGTGGAAGTGGAGAGATCAAAAGTGGGGAGGAGATAATTGGATGTGCAAGGGGGAAGGGAAGGTTGAAGGAGCAGGAGCAGGGCCAGGAGAAGAGGAGAATGGATGGGGAAGGAGAGGATGAAAAAGAGGGAGGGGAGGAGGGGGGAGGAGACGTGGGAGGGGATGGGTCTGGAGGGGAGATGAGTGGTGAGGAGGTAAGGAAGATGTTGCCAGCAGAAAAGATCTCGAAGCACCAGATGAAGAAACAAAGGAAGATTGGGAGGAGGAACAAGAAGTAGGCAGGTGTGAAGATGCGTATGCGTAGGCTTGTGCACACCTACAGTTGTGTACATATATATAGCGCACGTTTTATTGTGTATATTTCGTGCTGATACAGCAGCATGTAGTCGTGCTGCTGATGGTGGTGCCTCTGTTTTATACATTTTGGCACTTAGTGCTGCACTTGCCGATTGTACACAATGATATAAAATCATATGTAGAGAAGCCCCATTAGGGGAAATGTATGATACAAAGTGTCAGGACGGGAAAATGCACCAGTGGAAGTCGGTTCCTTTTCTCTGACCGCAAAAAGAACCCAATTTTCAAGTGCACCCCCCCTTTGCTATTCTAGCCTGTAAGTTCAAACTCCCACCACTCCTTTCCCATTTAAAACGTTTCAGCTCTCAACTGCAACTTACCAAACCGTATTCCACCTCGCTGGTTTCGTAACTACATGCTCCCTAACCTGAGAATGTTTGTAAGGAATTTTATTCCTTTCCGTGTTGTACTGCGATCGCATACACCCGAACTCTCGAAAGACCAGGCTCGGTCCGTTTCCGACGCGACCCCGAGGCTAACTCACACCGCCTCTGGTGCTTTCGACCGCGCCTGTGCCCAACCTAGCCCTCCGGGCTCGTCGCCTAGCTAGAATTCTCGCTGTATAATGCTAGGCTCCCATTCTTGTACTCGTCATTACTATTCCGCGCACTCTCTGTTATTATTCATAACATCTAGTATCAGAGCTACTTTCTTGGTTCACCTCGCTTTCCCAGGGTAGTTTATTTCCAAGGCGTGGTTAACCCTGCGGGGCTGCAAAGCGGTTGTCCGTGAGCTAGAGTTATTAGCTTACACAACTCTGAGAGCATTTACGCCCCCTCCGGTTTCTTACCACGGCCTTTCCCCTGCCCGAAAGGCATAGCATTCGCATCATGACTCAGGCCCAGCTAGACAAGGTCATGGCTCAGATGCAGGCAATGCAAGCCCAGATGGCGAGTTTGAACAGTGAAGCCGTGTGACTTCGGACGGAGAACACCGAGCTTCGCCAGACGTGTGGTGAAGCGCGTCAGGAGTCGCCTGGAGTCGCCTGGAGTCGCAAAGAATGATGTCAAGCCAGAAGCCAACGATGAGGCGAGCGAAACCGTCCTTGACGAGCTCGCACGGGAGTTGGAGTAGGACGACGCGCGCACTGTGACTGTGACGAAGATCAAGCTCAAGCCCGCCACGCCGCCCCCGTTCAACCCTTCGGACAAGGCGACAAGGGTGGTTGTTCAGCATGGAGCTATTCTTCACAGCTGCAAGTATGCATACAGATGACACACGCATTAATTATGCCGTGCTGCTGCTCCGGGGACCGGCGTTAGATTGGTGGCGACGACAGTTGGCGATTGGGACTCCGGCAGGCGTGACGCAGGCGAAGGACGGGACTTCGAATTCTTCAAACCAACAGGCAGAAACGATATTCAGTACGACCACGATTCGCACATGGAAACAGTGGGGCACAGCTCGGCGAGCTCGTTTTGAGCACTCATCCGCCTCAGATGACACTCGCATGAAGCTGCGCAACTGAAGGCAGGTGACTAATGTTCAAGATTACACTGTGTCGTTCTTGGAACTTGCAGACCAAGTGGACGACCTCAGCGAAGCAGAAAGGTGGGATAAATACATCAGCGAGCTGCATTTTGATATTCAGTACGAGTTGCAGTTCAATGAGGCTGTCCAGCTGGCGTCAGCAGCTGATGCACTGCAGCAGTGGGCGAAGAAGAAGAACAGTGATGTTGGTCGCTTTCATGGATAATCTCCCCGCCTACGATCAATGGCGTGTCTGCGCCCGATGAAGTATTTCACGGGCTATGCTATAGATATGACAAGCCAGGTCAACGAAATAAGTACTGCCCGACGGCGCCCAAGAAGATGAAGAACGACAAGGAGAAGCCGGGAAATGGGAAAAGTCAGTAGAAGACGGCCACCCTACTGATGAGGCTTTGTCGCCCAAACTTCAGTGTTCCCACCAAGTTGTGGTACCGATACATGCTATCGACCACACTCGGACGAATAACAGGAGCGAACCTGAAGATCACCCTGTGCTGGTCGAAGGCAAGGTGAATGGCAAAAAAATAAAGTTATTTGTGGATGGTGGGGCTAGTCATAGCCTGATCCACGTCACCACAATGAAGCAATTGAAGCTGACATTGGAGAAATTCCTTCCCGAAATTGATGCGCGGCTGGTGGACGGGACGCCACTTGCAATTCGGGAACGAGCACGAATGGTGCGGATGAAGTTTGGCGACAATTTTGGATTCAGCATGCCCATGCTGGCAACGATGCTGGATGGCTGTGACATCCTTCTCGGACGCGATTGGCTGCGAAAATACAACCCAATGATCAACTGGACAACTGGCGAATGCAGCATGCACTGTGCGAATGGGTGGCGCGCACTACCATGCTGGCGCGGATGGGATCCGGTTTTGACACGTGTCAACGACCTCACCCTCCAGCGAGCGGTTAAACGGGGAGTTGATTTGTACGCCGTCCATCTGCACGAAGCGACGGTTGACGACACGCTGAAGGATATCGACAAACTTTGTGACAGTGTCCCTGCTGAGCTCGCTGCACTGATTCGACAGTACCCTGATATTTTTCCGGACGACTTGCCAGCCGGATTGCCACATGAGCGCACCTAGGACCATTAAATTGACCTGGAAACTGGCGCGCAGCCAACCGTCAGGACATAGTGGCGGCTTACTCAGCCTAAACTCATGGAGTTGCGAAGCCAGGTGGACTACCTACTAGAGAAGGGGTTCATTCGACCCAGCACGTCCCCGTTCGCAGCGCCCATTCTGTTCACGCCCAAAAAAGATGAAGGGCTACGATTGTGCATTGATTACCGGGCGCTGAATCGACGAACCATCAAATCTCGCTACCCAATCCCACGCACGGACGACCTCCTCGACCAACTTCGCGGGGCTTGCTTCTTCAACAAGATTGATCTGCGAGGCAGTTACCATCAAATTCGTTTTTTCGCTGACGACTGCCACAAGACAGCGTTCCGAACCCGCTACGGCAGCTACGAGTACACGGTGATGCCTTTTGGCCTCACAAATGCGCCCTCTACATTCCAACTGACCATGAACGTTGTGTTCAGAGATTTACTCGACAAGTGCATCATCGTATATCTCGATGACATCTTGGTCTTCAGCAAGACACAGGAGCAGCACCTCGAGGACCTCGACCGAGTTTTCCAATGGCTGCAGTAGAATCGACTCATCACCAAGGGCTCTAAGTGCGAGTTCCTAAAATCCAAACTGGATTTTTTGGGACACGTCGTTGGAGCAGAAGGCATCCGCCACCATCCGCGACTGGAAGCCGCCCACGAATTTACAAGAGCTGCAGAGTTTTATTGGGTTCGTTAATTACGTCTGGCGATTTATCCCCACTATGGCAGGGACAACCGGACCTTTAACTGACCTGCTGCGGAAGGGAACTTCTTTTTAGTGGGGGGAGAGACAGCAAGCTGCTTTTGACGAACTCATAAATTTTCTTATGTCACCCCCGGTCCTCTGAATCGCTGATCCATCTCGACCATTCGAAGTCTTGACGGACGCTAGCGGTACTGTTACAGGATTTCAGTGATGGCCTCCAACCAATCGCGTACGAGTCCAGGTAGTTGCAGGCAGCCGAACGCAACTATCTCGTCCACGACGAGGAAATGCTCACCATCGTACACGCGTTCAAAGTGTGGCGCTGCTATCTGACGGGAGCTGGCATGACAGTACAGACAGACCACAAATCCCTACAGTACCTCCGCGCGTAGCCAAACCTCAACCCTCGACAGATTCGCTGGCTGGATTTCCTCGAGAGCAACTTCCACTACACCATTACATACAAATGGGGGGTGGATAACATCGCCGACGCTCTGACACGACCGTCCGCCCATCTTGCCTCCATCATCATTGCACAATCCAACCCACTGCTCACTGGACTATTTACCCACGGCTACAGCACCGACCCTTTTTTCACCCTCAACCTCCACCAACAAGCCACCACGGCCAAGGGAATTTATTTTCTAAAAGCCGGCACTGACTGTATCCGGATCCCCGCTTACCGTCTCCTTCGCGAATTACTGATTTAGGAAGTCCATGACTCTAACTTTTCTGGCCATTTCGGGGTTGATAAAACCCAGAAAATGATTCAGCCGTTTTTATTATTGGCCAGATTCGGCGTCTGGTGTACGGAGATACGTTTTGGCGTGCCCGACCTGCCAGCGCATGAAGTCCTCTCGACAGCAGCCAGCTGGACTACTGCAACCGCTCGAGCCACGCTCCCATTCTTATACTCGTCATCATTATTCCGCGCACTCTCAGTTATTATTCATAACAATGTTGAATACCGTTACTCTCTACTACTATCATCAGCAATGTCAGCCCATGGCCAATCAGTTTCTCGGTTCTGTGCCAGAATACTCAAGTCATCGGCGAACCCCGGCGAGCCAGCTCGGCTTTTCACGCGGCTATTTTCCTGAAAAGAGTAACCCTGTATCGCCTTGGCAATGGAGGGTAGTTAGGTGCCTGGGTCCTCCTGGGAGGGCCTATTTTCTGTGGCACTGCCGCCATTCCCTGTCGTGCTGCACCCACTTCGTTGCCGTCCGTCGACGGCGGACAACCTGTCCGTCAAGAGTCAAGACGTTCATCAAGAGTCAAGATGACTCTGAGATTCTTGCCAACAGTGAGCGAGTCATCGTCGCGTCGTCCTTCCATTCATCGTAAGCTAGTACTGTAGAAATGTTCCCCCTTCCCTCCTCAGCAACCTTTGAGATCGCGATGTTGCTCAGGGCTGTGTTCATGTGCCACATGGACGACTTGGGCGAAAACGGTTTCTGTCCAGCTGCGATACGATCGGATCGGACGCTCCTGGTTCGTCGACACCCATCCGTCCGTTGACGGGGGGACAGACAGAGATATCATTTGGACGTACTGTACAGCAGCAGCTCGCGAGTCGCAAGTACATCTTTCAAGAGAAGTGCTCTCTGAAATATCATATGAACGCCGGTTTTAGGTCGAGGTAATCTTTCAAGGGAAGTTCCCGTCCAGTTGGGGTCGGCCCAGCTCGCGAGTCGCAAACCAGAGGCGTAAAGACAGAGATGTCTCTCCTGGTTCACCAAGGTGCTGTTTGGTGTTCAGAGATGCCCGAGGGGGCGAAAATGGCCTTACTACTTCGAGTAGCAGTA